TCAAATGGTGACTCGGACGACGGGTAAAATGATCTCGTTAATTTTATTGGAGGGGCATCCCTCCCTCTCTCCTCCCCACATGTCTTGGGAGTTCCTCCCGATGTGCCCCTGGCGTACATCTGGTCACCGGATTTCAGAGTGAGTAGGAGAAGCAGTCAAGCCCGACTTGGCGTGATGGCGCCCCGCGATGTCGCCTTTTCCGGAACATTTGATTGGTCGACGTGACGTCAAAGCTAGCAAAACAACTCTCCTTGCTTACCCTATCTATCACCATCCGTATGCTCGAGTACATAATATCCAAATTATCTCTTACCTGTTCGGCACAAGTATTAGCAGAATGGTTGTTCTCCCTCTCCCTCTCTCTTTTTTTTCTTTTTTTTGTCGCGGGATGCAGGGCTCCGTGAAAGAGACGCTGTTGCATGAGAACTTTGTGAAAGGATGATCCGTGCTTTCGGGCTAAGGACTACGCTGATTCGCCTAAGCTGGTATCTTTGCAGTATATCTGGTTTTTACCTGTGATTGGTGATTGCCGATGTCTTTTACAACCCGCTAGCGTTTGGGAAGGACGGAAAGGGAGATTCGGAAAGGGAGAAGCTAAAAACGTACTCGAGTAAAGGTAAAGAGAGGAAAGGGAAAGGGGCAGGGCGCGGGTCTCCTAGAGCGCCATTCACTGCTTTCGAGATTCGGTTTAGCGGTGGTGCGGTATGTGGATAGGTTGGACTGCTCCGTCAGTTGACCCAAGGGCTGTGGGAAAGGTCTTTTGTTCTCGAGCATACGGTGGCTACAGAATATAATACAGTAACAGCATCCGGATCCCGGAGGTGGTACGGTAGTGAAGAGCATACTAGTGCTGTACGGCACTGTGCTACCTGCGAGCTCGGGAAAGGATCTTATATCATACACACTGTGCTGTTTCTCACTCCCACTTCCTCTTCTGCCTCATCCCCCCTCTTACTCCTCCTCTTCCTCCCCACCCTCCCTCTCGCTATCCACCAGGGGGCCCCACTTCACAAATTGTCCGTTCGTCTCTGTCCTTCGGTTTCCCTTCCGCACTTCACCCACTACAACGCGTTATAACCCTCCACAAATGCCAGCCTCCGTATCTTCAAAGGTAGGCCACGCCCTGGCCTGGGTCCTGCAGATAGACCTGAACCCGGGCCAGCGCGCCAAGGAGGCTCCAATCCCTAGAGTGATAGAGGGTCAGGATGGGAGCGGTCCGGGGGCAACATATATCGAGCAGGAACCAACAGTACTGGAGTGGTTCCAGCAATTCGAACCATCGACACCCGGATTTGTCTCCTACCTCCTCAGTCTTGTACCCTTTGTTTCGTGGATCGGGAGATATAATCTAAAATGGTTGTATGGCGATTTAGTCGCCGGTATTACGGTGGGTTGTGTCGTCATTCCTCAAGGGAGTAAGTTTCCACTCTTTTTTGTTATTTTTTTATTATTTTTTTCCTCCCCGACCCCCCGTACTCGTATTTTTACGAGGGTTTTATTTATGGGTTTGGAGCGATCACATACCCCCACCACCTAGCTTGGAATAGGTTGGCGGGCCGAGGCTAATGTACAATTCCGCGTTACAGTGGCATATGCCAAGCTTGCGCTCCTCCCCGTCGAATTCGGTCTCTATTCGTCATTCGTCGGAGTCATGATCTACTGGTTCTTCGCCACCTCGAAAGATATCACCATCGGTCCCGTTGCTGTAATGTCGACGCTAGTGGGCAACATCGTCTCAAGGGCCCCGGAAAATTTCGCCTATGCAAAAGAAGACATCGCCTCCTCACTAGCCCTTGTTGCCGGCTCAATCGTGACGGCAATGGGCCTTATCCGCCTGGGTTTCGTAGTGGAGTACATCCCCCTCACGGCAATCGCCGCATTCATGACGGGCTCCGCAATTAGTATAGCAACGGGCCAAGTCCCTGCCATGCTCGGCATCACCGGCTTCAACACTCGTGAGGCTACATACAAAGTCTTCATCAATATCCTAAAGCACCTTGGCTCGGCCAAGATAGATGCAGCAATGGGATTAACCGCCTTGTTCCTATTGTACCTCATTCGTTGGATCACCGGTACCTTCTTGCCAAAGAGGTACCCTAACCATAAGAAGACTTGGTTTTTCCTGTCCACCTTGAGAACTGTGTTCACGATCCTGTTGTACACATTGATTTCCTGGATAGTGAATCGGGGGCGTCGCAAGAAGCCGGTCTTCGCGATCCTGAAAACCGTCCCTAGTGGATTCAAGCACATGGGCGTTCCAAAGGCCAATGCTGACATCTTTAACGTTTTTGTGGGCGAGTTACCGGCGACGGTCATTGTGCTATTGATAGAGCATATTGTATGTTCCGAGCCATCCTCAACCACTAGTTGTTAAACTACCCTCTAACCAGGAATGGTGACAGGCAATTTCGAAGTCATTTGGCAGAATAAACAACTACCAGATTAACCCGTCTCAGGAACTCATCGCGATCGGAATCACCAATATCTTCGGTCCATTCTTCGGTGGATACCCGGCCACTGGATCGTTCTCCCGGACAGCTATCAAGTCGAAAGCCGGCGTGCGCACACCCTTCGCTGGAGTAATCACTGGTGTCGTCGTCCTCATGGCTATCTACCTCTTGACCTCGGTGTTCTATTTCATCCCCAACTCCAGTCTCTCGGCAGTCATCATCCACGCCGTCGGTGACCTGATCACTCCTCCCAACACGGTGTACAAATTCTGGTGCATCTCCCCGTTAGAAGTGGTCATTTTCTTCGCCGGTGTCATCGTGACGGTGTTTACGAATATTGAGAATGGAATTTATGTTACTGTTGGGCTGTCTGCCGGTGTCATGCTGTTCAGGATTGCGAAGGCGAGAGGGCATCTACTGGGTAAGGTTGAGGTGCGCTCAGTCACAGGCGGTAGTCTGTATAGCTCCGACGACCGCAGTGACGGGGGAAGTGAAGTTGTGCCGAACAGCCTGTCCGCGGAATTGGTAAAGGGCAGTGCGGCGAAAAAGACTCTGGGACGCAACCTTGAGGACCACAATGCTAGAAATGTTTACTTACCATTGGACCTAGCAGATGGCTCAAATCCAAGCCTGAAGGTCATAAGCCCATATCCAGGAATCTTCATTTACCGCTTCTCCGAAGGTACCCCCCCCTCCACTTCCTCTTTATAACCCCAGACTAACAATGCCCAGGCTTCCTCTACGCCAACGCCTCCCACTACACAGAAAACCTCGTGCAGCACATCTTCTCCGCCACCCGGCCAAATGTCTCCAACGTAACCATTGAGGTGGGAGACCGAGCATGGAACGACCCCCCGCCCAAGGCCTCGGCCATGGCCGCCGCCGACCCGCGGCCCACGCTCCGCGCTATAATCCTGGATTTTGCCTCGGTGAACAACGTCGACATCACCTCCGTGCAGAACCTCATCGACGTGCGCACGCAATTGGACCGGTACGTTGCTCCCGACACTGTAGAATGGCACTTCGCCTCCATCGGCTCCCGCTGGACGAAGCGTGCCTTAACCGCGGCCGGGTTCGGGTTCCCTAGCGATAGGGAGGGAGATTTCAACAGCAAAAGGAAGGCCGGATGGGCCCCCGTGTTCTCGGTCGCGAGCGTTGAGGAAGCGGTGGTTGTTGACGTGAAAGCCGCGGAAAAGAAGGGCTTTGATGAGGAGGGTGGGAGACCGCTTAATGGGAGTCGCTCCTCGCAGGAGGATGAGGAAGATGTCGCAAGGATTGGAACTCCAACCAGTGTTGGAAAGCGGAGGGTCCCCGTGGTCGTTGGAGGGATTAACAGGCCGTTTTTCCATGTTGATATCGATGGGGCGTTGAGGAGTGCTATCGCCTCGATTGAGAGTCGGTAAATGTTTGAGGCCCTTTTTTTCTCTTCCCCTCCCCGCCCCCTCTATCGAGGAATTGTTTTGTTTCTTCTCTCTTGTGCGTTCGACCGGCTTGCTGTTCCATGTCTTCTTCAAACCATAGGGGAAGCCGAATTGATTCCCTCTTATACCATATTATCATACTCTTTATTCGGCTTTCACGGGGCAAAAGATGCTTCCAGATCCTCTTTTTCCTTCTTTTTTTTTTCTCTAGAAAAAAGAAAATTACACGCGAAGTATTAGGATGGACTGGCAAGTATCTCATATGCGGACAAGCATCAGAAGGTAGCCCGCCGTGATATTACCGCTGCAGGAGTTCAGTGTAGACCCTGCCAAAAGATAGAATCTTATAGTAGATTGTTTCGCGTGGGGTGAATCCGGTTCTCATCGTGCACACGGACACATCTCGCATTGCCCACCCCCGTTAACCGCAATTATTACCACAGCGCCAGGCAGGAGGTAAATTTGCCAGTCGGGTAGTGTATGCACTTGTACGGCACTAGCAACCCCAGAATCCCGGAAAGTTCCTCCCGCGATAACGGATAGTCTAATCCGCCCCATCAATTACCAGCAGAGCACCACACTAGCACGAGTACGAGTACAGTACTGTACTGTACAAGTACCCGTGTCTCCGCGCCAAGAAATACTCACCTCTCTCGGAACAGCCCACCCGGACCCATAAAAGGCATAAAACACCGTACGGTAGTCCACGAAGCTTGAGCCGTTTGAATAATCGCGACAGCGACACAAGATACCGTAATTATTTTATATCTTACCTGCGTGGAGGACAACCGTCTCCTCCCCCGTCAGCGGTACTGCGGGTTCCGCGAAATTGGATGTTTCTCCCGCGGTGGAGGTATTTACTGCATATGCATAGGATGGAACGGAATTTGAGAGATGATATCGTGAGCGGTTGTGACAAATGGGAGGGGACGTAGCGGTTGTGACTACGGTAGAGGGGTAGCTTTTGCTCTTTACGTTGTGGCGATGTATCCACTCCTCCAGGAAGCAGCTCCAAGGCTAGGGTATGCTTTGTTTCTCTGGGTTCGGGGAGGCTATTGCGAAAGAGGTGACCGTTCTTGGCGCGAGGGCGCGAGTCCCTAGACACGAGGCGCGCAAGGATTCATCCGGTTCACGTCGTCTAGCGAGTTCAGTAGAGGCATAGAATCTCACTCGGTATTAGTGTTCAGCGTTCCTGGTTGCTCTCAAGAGGGGAGAGCTCCGTACTGCTAATGGGAAAGGTTTTGCTTTTTGTTGAGAAATGGTCCTGTAGATGGAGGTCCGGAGAGACATTTGCTTGGACTTCCTACTCACTATTCCGTATAGGAGATGTACGTGGAAGCGCGTACTCTGTATCCTGACTTGCGTCATCATGATAGTATATACATATACCGTTCTTGCTCCACTTAGCTAGTTAGACAGATAGAATAAACAACCTTCCACTGCACCACCAAAATGCTCAATTCTTGACAGGTTATGAGCCCAGTCTGCTACCTTAACTCCTGCACGAAAACAAGAATACCTTCTAGTTCTTGATTCTTTCCTTCTCCTTCTTCTCATTACTCTCATCATCGTCTCTCCATAGTAAAACCCTGCTATACATAGCAAACAAACCGATACCATGTCCTTCACTTCAAGTCCAGTCAGCAATCTTGACAAAGGAACTTATTGGTGTAAGTATGGTGAGACAGCTAAGCTCAATCATCTTAACTATAGTCAATGGCGTCGAGATATCGAGTTCTTCCTACAGGCTGAACAAGCCTTATCGATCGTTTTGGGAGAAGAAGTTCCGAGTCAGCCACAAGGGCCAAACACAAACTCAAATGAGTTTGATAAGCGGGCTGGCATTGGTGCAGCCATCATTCATGCATCCTGTGAATCCTCAGTTAAAGCCTATCTCCAAGGACTGAGAGACCCGCGTGCGATGTGGGAAGAGTTGCGAGTCAAACTGGATACTTCAAACTCACGTGCCGGAAGAACTGCGATCCTACGAAAGTTTAACCAACTATGGTCCACTTCCAATTCCTCTGTTGCCGACTATATTACTCAGTTATTGGAATGCAGCAAGGAACTCAGTGGAACTGAGCAGGCAATTCCAAAAGAAACCTTTATTAGCCACTTACTGACAACCCTTCCGAAATCCTTCAACTCGATCATTGACATTATAACACATCACCCCAAACAGGAACAAACTATCGACCGAGTAGTTTCAACTTTAATCGAATGGGAAGCTTCCAACCAGACACGAAAGACCGTATCTGAACCAATAAGGCCCAATTCTCCAACAACTACATTAACTACATATTCAAGCCGGAGATCCCGTGGAAGGAGTAGCTTTGCCTTAAGGAATTCTCTCGATCGCTCCCACTATCACAACTGCTCCTCTTTCCGTAATCCTACTTACAATTGTCGAAGGCCTAGGGTTACTTCTTCAAGCCTCACTTGCTGGTACTGCCTACGGCCTGGGCATCGGCAAGAAGACTGTAATCTACGAAGGTGAGCACAGGAGGCCCAGAAAGAGAGAGGAGGTGGGAGATCTCCGAGAAATAGGAGAAAAGATAGAGATGAGGCTGGAGCAGTATTTGCATCAGTCAAAGCACTTGCTGGTTTCACGGTAAAGAAAAATGGTATGCATGGCAAAGAGCTGGGTACTTGGATCATTGACTCAGGAGCTACCCATCACCTCTGCTGTGATCGCCTCGCTTTTCATTCCCTTAAGCGGCTTACTCAACCAATGACAGTCTACTTGGGTGACAATTCTTCTGTCCTTGCTACCAGTTGTGGGGAAATTGAGATTGCTGTTTCTCAATCCAGCTTGACTATCCAAGCTCGCTATGTTCCGGACCTGGTTCACAATCTCCTATCCGTTAGTTGTCTTTCCATGGAAGGCCGAATAAGTTTTCACGATTGGTCTTGCTTCTTTCAATACAAGAACACCGTGGAACAACAGCTTGCGGTCCTACAGAATGGACTCTATTACGTTACAATGGGAGAGACCAGTAATGATATTCAGTAGCCAGTCTCTGCTCTGGCTACTTCTTTGCCAAGTTTCACACTCTGGCATCAGCGTCTAGGCCATTTGAGCAACAAGTTGCTTTCAACCTTGATTCCCCCAGTAGCCTATCAAAAGGATAATGAAGATCAAGGTAACCTATGCCAAGTATGTATTAAAGTGAAGCATACTCGAAAGTTTGAAAGAAAACCTCAACCAAGGGCTACCAAACCATTCGAGCTCTTACATTCTGATTTATGTGGTCCGATAAATCCTCCGTCAAAGTCTGGCTTCCATTACTTTATTCTCTACATTGATGACTTCACGTGAGTCACTTGGGTATACTTTCTACGAACCAAGTCCTCAACTGAAGTCGTTGCAGTATTCCAAAACCTTCAAACTCGAATTGAAAAAGAATACCCCAGTTGGTCGATCACCCGCTTCCGTTGCGATAATGGTAGAGGGGAGTATAACAACTCCCTATTCCGTGGAATCCTACGAGTTAGCGGCATATCCTTCGAACCTAGTCCACCATATACACAATCAAAGAATGGAGTTGTGGAGCGTATGATAAGAACGATTGTCACCAAGGCCCGCGCAATGCTAATTGATTCTAAATTGGATGATGACTTTTGGGCCGAGGCAGTGAGCACAGCAGTCTATCTCCATGCTCGGACTCCATCGCAATCAATTTCCAATGCAACTCCATATGAAAAGCTAAAGGGCAAGAAACCGCAATTGGAGCACCTTAGAAGATTTGGATGTGCTGCCTATCGGTTTATTCCAAAGGAATTGAGAAAAAGCAAGTTCTCCATGTGGTCAAAAGAGTGTACGTTCTTAGGGTACGTACATGATACACAAAAGATTTGGAGACTGTGGGATCTACAAGGTGCCCGTATTATTGAGGCTTCAGATGTCATATTTGATGAGCTTCGAGTTCAAGGAACTCGTGATGAGACGGAAGAAGTAGAGATTCTACGCTCTTGCATTTCTGAGGAACTACCTCCGGAGGAGGACTCTATGATGTTATACCCATCTGGAGTACTCTCGAGCACAGAGGTACTGCCAGCTCTGGAAGAGGTTGCTGATATCAGGGAACAAAGGGCACCTACTCCCCAACGCATATGGGTTGAGGACTCTGGGTTTAAAGGGACCCATGAGTGTATTAATTCTGATCTTGAGGTTGAGCTCGATCAGTCCATGTCCTGCCCAGTGATGACCGTTGACAGGGGTGAAGAAGCATCTCCTGTAGGGAGTCTAAGTCTTAAAGAAACCGTACAAGTCCCGCAAATTGTGAATTTGCGCAGATATCAAAGAGTTGCAGCAAAGGGGCACCCCAGTGCTCATTCCGCTATTCATGCGATGATGGGGTTGAATGCAGTTGATGATACTATAGAGGACCCGACTAGCTACTGGGATTCTCTCAGATAAGGACACTGCCGGGAATGGAAAACCGCTATGCGCGATGAGTTCAAGTCCTTGGAAGATAATGAGACATGGTCTATTATTAACAAATCTAGCATTGGGCATGATGTGCAGCCAATTGGATGCAAATGGGTGTTTAGATGCAAGATAAATTTAGATAGATTAATACGCTATAAGGCACGTCTAGTAATTAAGGGATATGAGCAACAAATATTTGGTGAGACTTTTGCCCCTGTTGCTAGGCTAACAAGCATAAGACTAGTTTTGGCTTTAGCTACCCTCAATAGGTGGGAGATTCATCACCTTGATGTCTGTACCGCATTTCTTAATCCTAAGCTCGAGGATACTGTTTTCATGGAAATGCCGGAAGGTATTGAGTGGCTCAAGCCAGCTGGACACATGGGATCTCAGGACTGTATCCTAAAGCTTAACAAGGCACTATATGGTCTTAAGGAGGCGCCGTGCCTATGGTATCAACATATCGACAACTTCCTTGGATCCATTGGTCTTGGAAAGTCCAATAATAATCCTAACCTCTACTTTACTAAGGACCGGAGTCTATTCTTGGTCCTTTACATCGATGATATCCTGCTTCTCTCAAAGTCCTCTGGCCTGATAGTAGAAGTTAAAACGAAGCTAGAAACAAAGTATAAGTTGAATGATCTTGTACCAGCAAAGCAGTTCCTGGGATTGGAAATCATTAACGGTCAGGACCACTTATTCCTCCACCAACAACGCTTCGCTCGAACTATCCTCAATCGATTTGGAATGGCTGGCTGTAACAGCGTTTCCACTCCACTTGAGATCAAACGGCTTGTCCCTACAACACCTGAATGTGACCAAGGAAACCAAGCAGAATATCAGTTTATCTTAGGTTCCTTGATGTATCTCGCTATTGGCTCCAGGCCAGATATATCATATGCTGTAAGCATGCTTAGTAAGTTTAGTATTAACCCCAGTGCTATACATCTTGCTGCTGTAAAAAGACTACTACGTTATATCAAAGGTACAATGCATTTAGGACTCTACTATCGACTTGACTCCAACTCCGAAATCCATGGATACTGTGATTCAGACTTCGCTGGAGACTCACAGGATTCCAAGTCAACTTCTGGCTATGTTTTTACCTTGGCTGGAGCTTCTATTTCCTGGAAGTCAAAGAAACAAAGTCTGGTCGCTCTCTCATCCACGGAGTCAGAATATATTGGATACTCAGAGGCTTCACAAGAAGCTATTTGGCTGAAACGGCTTTACCATGAGGTTATCGGTACAGACTACAAACCCCAAAGACTCCTCTGTGACAACAAGAGTGCCCTCCAGCTCGTAGAGCAACCAAGGTTCAATGAGAGATCGAAACATATTGCAATTCAGTATCACCATGTGCGGGATTCCTGCCGGAATGGTCTTATTACTTTGGAATACTTGCAGTCCTCGGATATGACTGCAGATATTCTTACCAAGCCACTTACCAGAAATCTACATCAAAAGCACGTTATGGCTTTAGGACTTCATGGACCTCTAAAATAGATTTTCCTTTACCCATTTCATATTTGATTTCTTATGTTGTGGTTACTCTTGTAGGCGGTACTCTTTTTCCCTATCACCAGCAGCACGATAGGTTTTTAATGAGGCTGACCGAATTCTTTGTTTGTTTTTTCTTTTATACAATCAGGTATAGATAGTGAGAGGAAGGGTGGGAGTGTTGAGAAATGGTCCTGTAGATGGAGGTCCAGAGAGACATTTGCTTGGACTTCCTACTCACTATTCCGTATAGGAGATGTACGTGGAAGCACGTACTCTGTATCCTGACTTGCATCATCATGATAGTATATACATATACCGTTCTTGCTCCGCTTAGCTAGTTAGACAGATAGAATAAACAACCTTCCGCTGCACCACCAAAATGCTCAATTCTTGACACTTTTAACACGTATGCTACGGCATAGTATAGCGCGATACAGTACAACGATAGAAGAAATAACCATAAATCATACGTTCTAGACCCAATCGAACGAAGGGGGTGCTTGCTGCGCGGGTTGGATGAGGAAAAATGAAAGAAAGGAAAATACAAATGTCGCAAAATGTTACTCGCTATCGAGAACCGGAACGCGTACTCCCGGTCTTCGCGTGAACCTCACCCATAAATCCGGTTTATCCCAGAGAACGAAACTTGTGCTGTCCCGGTTTAGGTCCACGCCCCTATTCACCAGCTCCATCTCGTACACCCAAAATATCTTTGACAGTGCTAGGCGGATTTCTTTCAGTGCTAGACTGCACGCGAGGGGATTGTTAGATCAGCCGGAGTGAGGAGACGGGGGCAACGTACTTCCGACCAATGCATACCCGACTTCCGAGGGAAAACGGTTGACTGGCGTGCTTCTTATCCGTGCAGGCTGGATCCAGCCATCGTTCTGGCTTGAACACCTCGTGGTCGTGGAAGTTCTCTGGCGAGTGGCAAGTGGACCAGGGGCTTGTCGATAGTTCGACCTTTTTTTCCACTCATGTCAGTACGATGTAGTACCATCTGGGATGAACTTGAGGGTGGGGGAAAGGAGAGGGGGATCGCACCCCTTTGGGGATGTATATCCCATCGACGGTTTCCCCGGGGCTTTCGCGGTATGTGCCTGTCCCGACCGGTGGGTAAATGCGCAATCCCTCGTCGATGACGGCGGAAAGGTACTTTAGTTTCGAGGCGTTAGCGTCCGTGATTTCATCATATGTGTTGTATGCTGAACGGATCTCTTCGGCGAGGAGGTTATATACACGGGGGTTTTTGAGGAGGTGATAGGTTGTACCCGAGAGGAAGGTTGCTGTTGTTTCGGAGCCGGCAGTGCTGTTGGAGCGTCAAGTCAGCTTACGCCAAACATTCCGGCAGAGCCCTAAGGAAGAGTGATGGCACATGATTGTGCTGGCCTGGCCAGATAATTCTGGGATAGTCATGCCCGGGCCGTCGGGGCCGAACTGTCCGGAAAGCAAATCCCTGCGAGTAGTCTTCAAATTCATTCGTCTTAGATAGCAAGTTAGCTGATTCGGCCCATGTCTGCTCCAAGGGGGGTACTTGCTGGACAATCATCTTTCGGCTGTATTCGCTATGCTTGATCCTCATCTCCATGACCCTCTTCGGCACAGTCCAAACACCTAACTTTTCGAACACAGGGAACCACCTGGCAACACTCCTCCACGCAATAGCCCTGACATTCCCAAGAAGCAAACTGACCCAAAAGTGTGGTTTTGCTACCCTGCGTTAGTACCTCTCGACCAAGCACTAATAAAATCCCGAAGTACACACATACCGTCATTCAAACTCCCAAACGACTGTCCGAAAGCCAGATCCCCAATCAAGTCGAAAGTAAAGAAATTATACCACTTCACCATTTCATCCCCCTCCGGTCTCGTCCCGTGCACGTTAATCTGCCCGATCAACTTATCCACATAACCTTGGACAATATCCTCCTGTTCCAGCAAAGCCTTCGCTGAAAACCCATGTGAAAGCTTTCTTTTCATCTCCGAGTGCTTATGTGGATCCCGCTCATTGATCATGTGCCTCGCACCGAAGGAGTAGAAATGGGATTTCGGGAATTGCCTCCGGCTGTATGAGTGGCCATATATGTCACGCCAAGAGCTGGCAGAGGAGAAGGAGAGCTGGTTGGGCCCGATGCGGACTATTGTTCCATATTTGTCGTGGAGGGACTTTATGTAGAATGGGTATCGCCCGCTGAGGAAGTGGTAGGCTACGATGAACTATTGCGTGCGAGTCTCAGTAATATAAAACAAGCGGGTTTCAAGAAGGGTGGTTGGGGGGAACTCACGTCGGTGGCCGCGCAGAGCTTGGGCCCGGGGATTTCAGACAGAGGGTGGAGGAAAATGTTGTAGAACGCCCTCCCCAATATAAACACTGTGCCCTGTAATTCTTAGCCCAACTCCACTTGGCACAGGATAGGATTTGAACTACCAGTATGGATGATAACGTGACAATCCCCCGTATATACACCACCAGAGTGTACAAGCAGCTAGCATGCACCGGTGACATTTTACCTTGTGAAGTTCGTGGTATGGTAATTCTTTTGGGAAAGTCCCGACGATATTTTCCTCGAGAGTTAGGTGGCTATAACTGATCTCACAGTATTCCTAGTGTAGGAGTCAAAAATCATCAGGGACTTCGAGCTGTTTATAACCTTCCTTGAGTTCTTTCTAAAATAGCCCCCCTCATAGCCAATTCTGACTGCATCACTCCCTCTTTGGCCACTGAGCTGCTTACTCGGAGCTGCTCTGTAAAGATACCTTAATCCCCACCGACCAGTACTTGAGGCTGCCGGAAGAGATGTCACATTAATCGCAAGGATATCGTTAGCGAGGTAGACCCACCGGCCTTCGTTAAATAATTGGCCTTCCAATACAGCCCCACACCACCATATGTATTCGAGAGATATATTAAAAGATTTTTAAGCTTGACCTCCTTAATACACGATTTCATGAAGTTCTTAATCACTGCCATTCTGTCATTCCCAACATCTGTGATATGCAGGCGCCAGGGTTAGGGTTCCTGCCCAGCCAAACTCGTTATGATATTATGATATTCCAAGCCTCGAGGCGGTAGACACGTCCATGTACTCGAGTATACTAATGTACCGCAAGGACTGGGACAATTGGACCTCACGCTGAGGGGCCAATAATTCCCCTCTCCGGATAAGAGGGGGAATCACCCGGAAAAAAAAAATCAGCTTCCGCCTCTCCGCTAGGATAAATGAAGAGAAGAATGCCGGTAGAACAGACTTCACTAGGAGAGGCAACTGCGACGTCCTAGCACGAGCCCCAACCATCCCAGCTCTCACGGTAAGCGAAGTGCACAAACGTCACGGCACAGATAGCCTAACCATCGCGGTCTCATGGATCTCCCGATGCCGCCGGTCTGTGATATCAAAGCTATTCACCAGGGTAAATGTCCACCCCGCCAAGGGACGGATCCCAGAGAGACAAGCTCCGGATAACGACAATCGGTGGCAAGGTGGCAACTGCCGGTGATCCAGAGATGAGAAACCTTGTCTAGAAACCTTGGCGGATGGATATTTGAGTTAGCTTCTTGCCATATCCAGGAAACTAAATAAATGTTTCTTTCGTGAGTGACTATGTGGAAATATAGATAGCAATACCCTAGGTTGGTTCCACCTAATATTGTAACTTAACCGCTGAATGCCTCGTTCCCTGGCCGCTAAACAATTGAAGGATTTAGCCAACGGGAACCCCTCGTTTCCCCGGTGGTCGCAAGCAGATTACGCGCTCCTGTGGAGCAATGTTTCACAGCCGTAAACGCCCGCTCACAATACCGACCTCGTAAGCTTTTAGTCTCTCCCCCGCCGAAAAACGTGGGCTAAATCCAACGCCGAGGTAGTCTCTAGCGTTTTCTGGGAAGTTATTTCTAGCCTATCTACCGGGAATACTGTCCTGCTTTTACATCTCCAGAGATGGCGGCCGGATCCAGACCAAAGGACGGCCAAACTGTGGCGGTGGAGACTCTCCTATCCTCCCTACACAACAAGCCTCAAGGAATACCCCCTTCCAAACAATTGTGGCAGGCTTGTCATACCTGTATCAGCTAAAATCAACGAACTCGACAGGACCCATTCCCTCACACAAGTTGTTCACAATTTATCACTCGTGGTTGCCACACAAGCTCAGATATCCCCTGGGAAGAAAGGAAAAACAGCTCGGGGCAGTTGGGGCCCGGGGCGGTAGTTCATGCGGCCATCTCCACACCATTCCAGCACTTGGAAAACCGGTACACCTCCCCATGCCCCATAGGGCCCCACACAAAGGATTAGAAATATGCCCTTCCGTCCCCTTGGCGATCTGGCCTACAGACCGGGCAAACGTAAGTTAGCACTTGTACCCGGACGGACTCGCTTGACGGCATGTGTCAGTTCTATACGCGCCTTTCACGGCGATGAGGTGGTACGAGATTCGTATCGTGCCGTTATAGAAAGCATTTGGAAGACCCCCCCACGTTGAATAGATTTTCACTTGCTCAAGCGAAGGGAAGCCCGGGTGATATATCTCGTTAATGTAGTGGGGCCTCCTCTTCTAAGTGGAGGGGTGGTCAGGGGAAAATCCTGATATAGGTGCTGCACTCCGATCAACTGCACTAGTAGTTTGATAGCCTGTCGCCTCTCTCGTACAACCAGAGCTCTCGGGAAAGCATCCCCCACAATCAAAGTAGGGAGGTGGATTGGGGAGGTCATTGGCTATATAGGAACAAATGCTATAGTCTTATACGGTATGTGCCACTAGGGAGCCCTGTGTGAAAGCGGCAACTATCCGTGTTGGTTATTTTACCTCCTTTTGCCATTTTCACGTCTCATCAAACTCAGAGAGCACCGTGCTGAACCAACTGGGGAGAAAACACGTCGATCAAAGGAGGACAAGCAGCCCATTGAAGAAAGAAGCATGGAGGGTATGGGGCAGGGATAACAGGAATGGGAAAATCAGTCTTTGGATCTCCGGGATCAGGTGCCGTATTGGAGGCGTAACCCCCCTCATGCTGACCGGAATCCCCGCTATAACACGAGCAACGCATTAGAAATGGTGTCAACCATTAGCGTATCATCGTGAAGTTTTTTTTTTTTTCAAAGCTACAATAGATCTGGAGGTTATAACCTCCGGACCCCAGCAGGTAACACCACGCTACAAAGTTCTCTGTTACACAGTGAGTTGTGCTACCCTACCGTACAGTACACGACTACAGAATTAGGCGCCTCCACAGGGTGACGCCATCCTTACAAAGGTTGACACATCACTGAAGCGATTTTCATTCGATCTCACTCTCTAACCTTATTCGTAATGTCCGGGCCGAAAACCAGAGCACTGGCTGTAACCCCCGAGCGATGGCCTCTATGAACATGTCCAGGTAGCACACTATGCCCCAAGTGGCGAGTTGTTGCAAACCTAAAGGAGAGTTCGACATCTTCGGAGGAGAATCCAAGACTGCAACGCAATCTCTCCCCTGGGATCCCCGGAATATCAATGCCCCCATATTAGGCTATCTTAAAATTCAAATTTTTTTTTAAGGTATCGGTCTGGGTTCAAGAAGGCAGGCAGGAGTGACACTGGGGGCTAAATCCATGAAAGGGCAACGGTATCTAGGATGGGCGGAGAAGACTTTACAAGTATACTCAAGGGATCCCTAGTTTAGCGCTTGTGCTCCGGGGGAGGCCCGTGTTCGCCACCGGCAGTACATCTACACTACCTCCCGGCGAGAAGACTAAGATGAACTAATACAAGTCCCCCTCATAAAGCATCTAAACATGCATGTCAGATCCCGTCAGAATTTAGTATGGGTGCTCAGACGGGCACAAACACGCACAGACAATCTGCCGTACAAGTTTTTAATCCCTGTGTTCAGGTACTTCTTGAGGGGAACCTGTATATAGCAAGCTCCCAAGCCACCTGCCAGCCGCACAACGAGATTAGGATTCAAGATCGTCCCTGCGTCATCTATCCTCCGGTGGATGAATGGTTAAAGGGTGCGTAGCAGCCCGAGAGACCAATTCTGGGATGGAGGATAAACACAATCCCAGAAAACTAAAATCTGTGTATATAAATAAGCGCTTGTTTTGCGTTTAGAAAAATCAGGGTAACAAGGGTATCAATGCAGCAAGGGCGGGTATTAGTTAGGCTGTGGCTGGGTGAAGGGGGGCTTCAGGCGTCCATACGCCGCAAAGATAGACGGCCAACGGCGGTCGGATAAAGCAAACCGCCGAGAAGCGCGACGGGTTTTAGTAATTCCCATGTAAGTGAGAGTTGGTGTGGGGGGGTTCCCACAGTGAGTATTTAGAGATGATACATACTTCGGCTTCGTGTCCGTAAAAATTGGTCGACATTCAGGCTTGCCAACCACCATCACCCTCCTATTCCCAGGAGGATGATCAAAACAAGGGATACAGCAACCAGAAATGGTTTAATTCCAGGCCCCACCCCATGAAAGATTCTTAAGCAGTGCTGTCAGATCGGCAGGCAAAATTGAATCCCAAACCCATACACTGAATTATGCGAATACCAAAACAGCTCTTACCTAGCAAAAACTTGTTTGGGGAGTTATAGCGCACTCTCATGTCGGCCCCTACTAGGATGTTACCAACAGAGTATAGGAACACTATTGGCAATAGATGAAGGATGTGGACGCTAGCGATTTCCTATGATAGTACGCTGCAACCCCATCTAGTTGGTGGCTACATCGTAGAGCAATCCATTTATGGATTACCAAATATGGTATGAGGAAAGTTCAAAAGTTTGCCACTAGGGAGGAATAGAATCTCTCCCGCTTCCTACTTTATCTCTCGCAACTTCTAGAATACAATTTTGGATAGTAACTTCCTAGATATACCACCGTCTTATTTAAGGACATTGCAATAGAGGCAAGACATGCCCCTACGGATCTACAACGGTTGATCTTAGTTTCAAAGCCCCAGCACCACGTCGAGGTGTCAACCACGCTGGGGTCCCACGAGCCGTCCGCTTTCCAAGAGAGCGTGCTCCGGGATATAGGGAAGTGACCTCATTAGATAATCCAGATAGCACGAACACCCAATAATTACCACGTACGCCCCCCCCCCGTGGGGTACTCCATGGATTTCCCATCCAGGCATCATCACATGTCACTCGTTTATCTTGTGAATTGCTATGACCACTGACCAAGAGAAAGAACCTTGGTTTTCCTACCACGTACGCAGCTATGAGTTTTTATACCAAACTAAGAAGCAAAACAGAGGAAAGAAATATCAGAAGGCTGAGGTTGGTAATATGAGAACCTCGGAAGGAAGGAAGGATTTGAAGAGACCTCAGAGGAAAAGAGGGCATATGAGAAGCTCGGGAGGACCGCGAATGATGAGTAGCACTGGCAAGG